GCCCAGCTTGGGGATGAACCCAGGAGTGGGGGAACCCGCGCTGCCCCAACCGGAATCTGTGCTCCTGGCGCGGGCCAGCTGCGCCCCCCGCGGGGGAGGTCTGTGCCCCGCTGTCCCTAACACGGGTTAGAAAGTGGTTATGTTTCTGTTTTCGAGGCTGGGCTAGGGCACGATGCGCACCGAGTCGTGCCACCGAGTGGTGACCCTGAGCAAGGAAGCCAGCCGTGCCCAAGCGCACGGGTGGGTGTTCCCCGCGGCAGGGAGGTCGGGCCTGCCGCACAGCCCGGGTTGCGGAGAGGCGGGAGCTCCGGGGCCTGTGAGCAGAAGCGGGGTGGCTCCGAGGGGCAAGTGTGCCCTGCAGGGAGCTCGTGGAACAGCCCGCTCTCAGGCAAAGCCACAGAAACAACCCCTCCGGGTGCTGTGGCCTACAGGCAGGACACCTGGAGGCTCACACCAGTTCAAAGGCTGTATTTTCATCTCAGAGCGCAGTGCAGTCAGGGTGTTTCAGTTCCTCGCCCATATATATACACACGTGTACACAGCCCAATTCTGGAATGGTTATGTCCTTAAGCCTTTATTACATGAATTGTTTTCAAAAGTCACATTCAGTGTGGAGACTTTTCAGAGAGTTGCATGCTGGAGTTGTAGACAGCCAAGCTCAGTGCTCACCTCTCCAGTGAATGCCCTTGGCCTGCTTGGGGAAACTCTCTGCCTTTGGCCTAAGAAGTCCAGAGTAGTGGCCCCAAGGCCACAGCAGGTAGAGCTGTACAGAGGGTGACAGGCCAGTGGATTTCAGGCACTCACCTCCCAGCCAGGGGCCCACGGTGAAACCAGACTTCTAGTCCCAGAGCCGCTGGGGTCTGGCAGGGAGGGCCTGAGGCAGGCAGCTCCTTGGGTCCCTGCCTCCTTTCTGCCAGGAGAGACCACTGACCTCATTCTCACGTCCATGTCCTCATCTATGAATCCTCCATGCGTGTCCCCATTCCTATAGTCCCCAGAGCTTCTGTGGGAAAGGGGCTCAGAGTTTACAGGAAGCCTGAGCCACTTTGGAGCTAGTTTTCCTGTTCAGGGCTTGACAGATAAAGTTCCCAGCTTCCATGAGTTTCTGGAGGTTCACACCCTTGGAGAAACAAGTTAGAGGATGCAGTAAGTCATGACAGGCCTCCAACCCCAGGGAAACATCAGACTGGACAGACAGTAGTGACGCTGAAAGGGGAGAGGTGAAGACTTTATATAAACAGGCTCTTTTTCTTGACAGTGGGACTCCAGCTGCCTGAGAGCTCGTTTCCATCTGGCATCTGGGGTTATCCCCTGACTCCTCTTCATATAAGATGCCCCAATCCTGTACTGGTTTGCAGTGTCACCACCAGGACAGGGGTCTCCTCAGTCTTGCTCGTACTCCAACCCCAGGGCCTAACACAGGGCCTGGCCTCCAGAGGTTGAAAACTGCATATTCAAGTGAGGACTGTGAAGCAGACAGGTAGGAATAAAAACACCAACTCAAGGGCCAGACAGAAAAGCTCTGTTCTTACTAGCAGCCCCTGTTGGCTGTTGTGCACATTGTGCTCAGCTCTGAGCTAAGCGTTCCACAGACATTTGCTTACTCGATCCTCAACCACTGTGAGTGGGTGCTGTTATTATTTCCTTTTCTTGGGTTCAGAGAGATGACATAATTTGTCTGAGGTCACATAACCCATGAGTGGCAGGACTAGGTTTGAAACCCAATTCCATCTGATCCCCAAGCACAGACACGGCCTCCATCCTACCCGAGGGCCCCAACTGCTCTGGCAGATCCTTGGCGGGCTAATTCTACTGCCGTCATTTAATAGAGAACAAAGAACTGACTCATCTCAGGTCATGGACCTGACCTGCTAGGGCTCTTTCCATACTCCTTGGCGCCTCCTAGAACTGAACTGTCAACATCATACTGACATCCTGGCCTTCATGTGCCTATGTCTGTGGCCTCATTCAACCACACTCTGCTACCTCAAACACTTTAGATAGAGTGCCCATAATCCCCTGGCATCCTTCCCCTCTAAACCTGTCACCACCCCAGCAGTCCCAAATAACCCCATCGGCTTCTGTCCTCTGGCTTTAGACAGAACTGTCAACTCAGAGCTGTTACCACCAGAGGGCAGGCGGTCTTACCGTGTGGATGCCCAAGCCAGTGAGCATGTAGACTAGGTCCTCGGTGGCTACGTTTCCCGATGCCCCCTGTGCATAGGGACAGCCTCCAAGTCCTGCCACAGAAGAGTCCACGACACTCACTCCCATCTGGAAACATAAGGATGGTGAGACATGGTTGTAGGGACCAGAGCCCACAAAGCTGGGCCTTGTAAACTTCCTAATCTGTTGCCTGAAATTCTACCATGAGTCTTTCTTTCCTTTGGCTTAGGATTCTGTTGATGTGGAAGTCCCATTGAAAGAGGCAGTGCTTTTCCTGCCAGTTCCCAGACAGTGAGTTCTTCTGCATATACTTTCCTCTGCTGGGAGTATCTTTCCTCCATTCCTTTCATGGTTGACTCCTTTTAGGTCCCAGCCTAAAAGCCACATGGCTCAGAGACTTTTCCTGATCATCGGCCTTGTCCCTCCCACTGCTGAGATGTCAGACCCCCATTGTGTACTGTGGCTCGTTTACACCCACCCTCTCCCAGGCTGCTCACTCACAGCTCGGGGCTCTAGCCTCATGGAAGCCGTGTCCCAGTTCCCCAGGCAGTCACTCCGTACTCTCCTAGATGACTAGCTCATGTTCTTCTCTCTCCTTAAGCCTATATCACCCTCTTCTCCATCCTCACTCTGAGCTGCTTCCTTGCACTAAGAGAAAACAGATGCATCCGGAAGAGATGTCTCCATCGGCTCCCACGCCACCTGCTGGTGTCTGGGCCCACACACCCACTGGCCCACGTGCTGTTGGGATGGGCTCTGAGATCCTCGCCAAGGCCAGCCCCTCCACCTCTGCGTGAGGCCCATTCCTGCCGGCTCAAGGATGTGCTCCTGCATTCTCCCTCTCACTCCTGCAACTGTTACTTCCATGGGGTCATTCCCACATAAGCAGTCTGGGACCTTGCCCATCTTTGGCAAATCCTTTCAGAGCCCCCTGAGCTCCCATTTATTTGTCCCTATTCAAAGCAGCAGAGCTGTCCCCAGTTATCATCTGCCATTCTCACTTGAATCCAATCTAAACAGGTCTGCGTCCCCACAACTCCTCCATGTAAACATCTCCAGTCAAGGTCACTGGTGACCTCTATGTAGCTCAATCCCAAGGTCAAGTCTCATCTTCTTTGTACCTATCAGCATCATTGTTTTGAACACCTTCACGTGGCTTCCAGGACTCAACATCCTGCTGGCTTTCCTCCCAATGCTTTGAATTCCCTGAAACCTAGCTCGATTCATTCTCTGCTGGCTCTTCCTCATCTCCCTGACCCCTAAGGGTTGGAGCCCTCAATGCTCCGGGCTCAGATGCTTCTCCATCTGCACACACTCCCAGGTGACTTCAGCATCTTTATTTTTATTTATTTATTTTTTTGAGTTGGAGTCTCACTCTGTCACCCAGACTGGAGTGCAGAGGACACTCCCGGCCACCGCAGCCTCGACCTACTGGGCTCCGGCGATCCTTCCCCCTCAGACTTCCAAGGAGCTGGAACTACAGGTGCGTGCTACCATGCCTGGCTAGTTTTTGATTTATTGTAGAGATGAGGTCTTGCCAAGTTGCCCAAGCGGGTCACAAACCCGCGGGCTCAGGCAATTCACTCACCTCAGCCTCCCAAAGGCACGGGATTACAGGCTGAGCCACCGAGCCCGGCTTGCAGCATCTTTAAATACGCACCTTGTACTGAAGACTCCAACATTTTTACACTTGCTGGGACACTCTCTGAGATGGAGATTCACACAGCCAAAAGTCTCCTCAAGAGCTCCACTGGGATGTCTAATAGATGTCTTGAACTTCGCAGGTCAGAAAGCAAACTCCTGATAGCTCGCCCACATGCTCAGCTCTTTTGGGCTTCCTTGCCATGTCTTTCACATGAATTAGGCTCCAAACTGACTTTTCTGTTCCTACTAGCATCTATCCACAGTCTCTTCTCCACACAGCAGCCAGAGGGATCCTTTTTTTAAAAAACAAAAACAGGGTCTTTCTCTGTCACCCAAGCTGAAGTGCACAGCCTTGAACTCTCTTGGGTTCAAGTGATCTGCCTGCCTCAGCTTCCCAAGTAGCTAGGAATACAGGCACATGGCATTGCACCCAGCTGATTAAAAAAATTTTTTTAAAAAATAGAAACAAGATCTTCCTGTTACCCAAGCTGGTCTTGAGCTCCTGGATCAAGCGGTTCTCCTGCCATGGCCTCCCAAAGTGCTGGGATTACAGGTATGATTCACTATGCCTGACCCAGAAGGATCCTTTGGTTTAAAAAAAATTTTTTTTTTTTTGGGTTCAAGTCTCACTCTGTTGCCCAGGCTGGAGTGCAGTGGCACACTCACAGCCACCACAGCCTCGACCTGTTGGGCTCAGGTGATCTTTCTGCCTCATCCTTCCCAGTAACTGGAAATACAGGCATGAGCCACCATACCCAGCTAATTTTTTAAATATATTGTAGAGATGTGGTCTCACCAAGTTGCCCAGGCTAGTCTTGAACCCCTGGTCTCAGGCAATCCTCTTGCCTCGGCCTCCCAAAGTGCTGGGATTACAGGTATGAGTCACTATGCCTGGCCAGGAGGGATTCTTTTATTTAAAAAAAAAAAAAAAGAAAAATATATATATATATATATATATTTTAGTTAGAGTCTCACTCTGTTGCCCAGGCTGGAGTGCAGTGGCACACTCACTGTCACTGCAGCCTCGACCTGCTGGTCTTAGGCGATCCTTCTGCCTCATCCTTCCCAGTAGCTGGAACTACAGGCACAAGCCACCATGCCCGGCTAATTTTTTTGATTTACTGTAGAGATGAAGTCTCACTAAGTTGTCCAGGCTAGTCTTGAACCCCTGGTCTCAGGTAATCCTCTTGCCTCGGCTTCCCAAAGTGCTGGGATTACAGGCTTCAGCCATCATGCCCGGCCAAGAGATCCTTTTAATGGGAAAAGTTCAGATCATATCCCTATCTTTACCTTCCTCTGTTGAAGACTCTCCGTTAGCTTCCTCGCTCATTCAGAAAGAGCCAAAGTCCTACAAGCCCCTCCTTGGCCTGGTCTCCTCTATCTAACACCTACCCTTCTCCTCTTGATCACACTGCTCCTGCCATATGCTTCCCTGTGTTCCCTGAACACAGCAAGCACACCCCACTTCAGGGCTCTGTACCTGCCGTTCCTAGACTGGACAGCCCTCCCTGGCCCCCACCCCCACCAGGTGTCTGCATGGTTCCCTCCCTCACTTCCCTTGGGACACTCTAATGCTATCTTCTGCATGGGGCCACTCTGTGTGAAGACCTGGTACTTTGTTAACATGCTTCATTTTTCTCCATGGCACGTATGAACATGTGGCCTACTATATGCTTGTTTATTTATTATCTTCTCATCTTAGTAGAGTGTCAGTCTCATGAGGTCAGAGACTTTGTTTTAGTCACAGCTGAATCCTTAATGCCGAGAACAGATCTTGGCACACAGGAGGACTTCAGTTTCAATAGGTGTATAAATGGTCTTACAATTTGTGTTTGTATGTCTGGAGTCTTCCATCTGTCTTCTCCACCATGACATGAGCTCCCAGAGGGCAGGAACTGGTTCTTTTTTTTTTTTTTTTTTTTTTTGAGTTGGAGTCTCACTCTGTTGCCCAGACTGGAGTGCAGTAGCATGCTCCCGGCCACCGCAGCCTTGACCTACTGGGCTCTGGCGATCCTTCTGCCTCAGCCTTCCAAGTAGCTGGAACTACAGGTGCGCACTACCACGCCTGGGTGATTTTTTAATTTATTGTAGAGATGAGGTCTCGTCAAGTTGCCCAGGCAGGTCTCGAGGCCGTGGGCTCAGGCAATCCACTCAACTCAGCCTCCCAAAGCGTGGGATTATAGGCTGAGCCACCGAGCCCAGTTAGGAACTAGTTCTTGTTATTATTGCCTAGTCAGCACTTAACCTGGCACACAGAAGTCACATGACACATTTCTGAAATAATTGACATAAGAGTGAGGTCAGAGGAGGTTACTGCCAGTCATCACATGGCTGATCTTGTTCAAGAAAAAAATTTTTTTTCTTTTTCTTTTTTTTTAGTTGGAGTCTCACTCTGTCGCTCAGGCTAGCACGCAGTGACACATTCATGGCCACCACAGCCTCGACCTGCTGGGCTCAGGTGATCCTTCCACCTCAGCCTTCCAGGTAGCCGGAACCACAGGTGTGCGCCATCATGCCTGGCTAATTTTTGACTTATTGTAGAGACACGGTCTCCTCAGGCAGTCCTCTTGCATCTATCTCTGAAAGTGCTGGAATTACAGGCGTGAGTCACCACGCCCAGTTAAGAACTTAGAAACAAGGAGATTCTGAGGACATCAAGTGCCAAGAAGCAGAGAAGCACAAAGAAGTGGCTGTGTCCTGTGCATGGTCAAGATCAAGTCAGCCTCAGACTTCTCATGGCTGTGCAGAAACCCTTGTATACTTGCCTAGCAAGGCATGGGAGAAGAAGGCATTGTCCTGGGCCTGCCTGGCCAGGAAACTCATGAGCCACAGGAAAGCCCAGGGGCTTAGGACAGGTATCACACAAAGCCGAGAAATGGAGACCGCAGAGATATAAACCTTAACCTTGACAATCACAATTCTGAGGAAATAGATCCAGAATGTCATGCATTTACCTGGCTCAGAGACATGAACCTCTAGGAGGTCACCGAGAGAAAACAAAAAAAGGTGATGGGATTGCCTTCACTATCCTAAAGACAATAGGTTAGCCTGATGTTAAAGTAAGATGGCCTGTGGTCAGACACCACAATGTTCCTTCTGTTGGGCTGCCAGCCAATGGAATCCCCATTCTGGGCCAGCCCATGAAAAGCAAACCCCAAGGGAAACCAAATCTGAGGTCTCAGTCCAGTCTCTGGAGAGCAGTGTGACATGTGCTCACTGTGAGGCCTCTGTCTGACTCTTCTTCCTGCCTTCTCCTCTGCTCCCTACACATAAGCTCACATGCACATGCTCACAACCCTGTATGCTGTTGCAGGGTCGAAGTCCACAAATCCTCCCTGGACACCCTCCCCCGCAGTCTCGAGTTACAGTTCTGCCGCGTCACCTGCTTGACTTCTTGTCCTTCAAGCCTTACTCAGGCTTCTTCTGCAAATCCTCTCTGACCCCCTCAGCCAGGTTGGGCCCCTCTAACATTCTCAGTACCATGCTTCCTCCTTTTGTGACATCTGTCATGATGCAGTAGGATTGACTGTCTCCCCAGCAGACACATGTGGGCACTTTCAAGGCAGGCTCACCATAACTGTGTCCATTGCCAGCCCAGGACTTGGCACACTGGCATCAGTAAATGTTTGCTGAAAGAATAAATGAAACCAAGCTGTCTTGCCACCGTGCCCTGGGGGAAAATGGGCATGTGCCTTTGATTACCTGTAGGGCCACCAAGGTGTTAGCCAGGGCTTGGCCGTAGGTGTCATGGCAGTGGACAGCCAGGGCAGACAGAGGCACCTCCTGCATGACGGCGGACAGCATATCTTTCATGATGCCCGGGGTGCCCACGCCAATGGTGTCCCCCAGGGAGATCTCGTAGCAGCCCATTGAGTACAACTTCTTAGAGACCTGGGGAAGCAAGCAGGTACTTGGAGGACACTGGAGTCCACTAGCCAGAGTCCAAGCACTCAGGCAAGGATCCTTTCCTAGGAAGAACACCTTTGTGTTGGAAGTGCTCAGTTCCTGCTGGATTGCAGGCTCTGTACAACTCCAAGGGGAGTGATGGTCCTCATTCTACTCATCTGGAGACTGAGACTTGAGTGTAGAGTCAGACATTGGCCTTGTGTCCCTCAGACTTCAGTCCCCCACGTACCACCTTCACACACTGTGTCAGACCCAGGTGCTTGATTCCTTTCATGTAGTTTTATCCTCAGCAATAAGATCTGGGAAATCATGGGTATGAGATGCTAGTTCTGTCTTTTTTTTTTTTTTTTTGAGTTGGAGTCTCACTCTGTCGCCCAGACTGGAGTGCAGTGGCCGCTCCTGGCCACCGCAGCCTTGACCTGCTGGACTCTGGCGATCCTTCCGCCTCAGCTTCCGAATAGCTGGAATTACAGGCGCGAGCTACCACGCCCAGCTAATTTTTTGATTTATTGTAGAGATGAGGTCTCGCCTGCCCAGGCGGGTCGCGAACCCGCGGGCTCAGGCAATCTACTCCCCTCAGCCTCCCATACTTCTGTCTTTTAGCAGAGATACAGAACTGCTGACATCTTTAGAAGCGCATCGGCAAACCCCTAAATCACTGCACAATGAGAGCAATATGTGCCTCACCCGAGGAGATGCTGCCCACACTGGACTGCTCAACAAGGTGAGGAAGGATGGGGCAGGGTAAGCAACACACACACCAAACACCAATGATAAATGAGCCAGTGACACCCTCTCCCCTATAGGTCCAGCACAGGCAGAGTTAAGGGGCAGAGGACCCACAGAGGGCACCCTATTGGAGTCATGATGCTGGATGAAAGTCCTAGTTCTGCCAAGTGCAGTGGCTCACACCTATAATCCCAGCACTCTGGGAGGCCGAGGTGAGAGGATTGTTTAAACAATTGCCTGGGCAATTTGGCGAGACCTCACCTCTACAATAAATAAAAAAATTAGGCTGGGCTCGGTGGCTCAGCCTGTAATCCCGTGCTTTGGGAGGCCGAGGTGAGCGGATTGCCTGAGCCCGCGGGTTCGAGACCCGCCTGGGCAACTTGGCGAGACCTCATCTCTATAATAAATCAAAAAATTGAGCCGGGCATGGTAGCGCTCACCTATAGTTCCAGCTACTTGGAAGGGTGAGTGGAAGGATCACCAGAGCCCAGCAGGTCAAGGCTGCGGTGGCCGGGAGTGGCCACCGCACTCTAGTCTGGGCGACAGAGGGAGACTCCAACTCAAAAAAAAAAAAAAAATAGCTGGGCATGGTTAGCAGTGCCTGTAGTCCCAGCTACTTGGAAGGCTGAGGCAGAAGGATCACCTGAGCCCAGCAGGTAGAGATTGCGGTGGCCACTGCATTCCAGCCTGGGCAACAGAGTGAGACTCCAACTCAAAAAAAAAAAAGAAAGAAAGTCCTAGTTCTGCTATTCACTAGCTGTGGGCTTTGGCAGGAGACTTTTCTGAGCTTCAATTTCTGCTTCTGAAAGATAATGCTGACCCTTTGTAGAGCTATGGTGAGGACTGGCAAAAATGTGAGGCTGACCTGGCCCACCAAAGCTGCTCTCAGTGGGCAGGTGCTACTGTTACCATCTGTCCCTCTCTGGATGCCACATACATATCTGGGAAGGCCAAGAGGGGTTTGGAAGGAGAAAAAATGAGGCGTGAGACCTGGTTTCACCATCTGCAATCTGTGTGGCAAGTTATCTAGTCTCAGTTTCCTTAACTGTACAATGGACTAATAATGCCAAATTTGCATAGTGGTTTTGAGGAATAAGTGACATAAAGGATGGGGAACTCCTTGGTGAGAAGCCCTCTTCAGAGGATTGTCACCTTGATCATCTGTCCATTGACCAGATTGGAAACTGAATCAGAGGCTTTCAGGTTGGGGTAGAGCCAGGGGCTTTGAAGACCACATGCCCGGCTAGAAGAGGGGTCTTGAGGAAGCAAGTACAGGGCTGTGCTCACAGGGGGCCTTAATGAAGGATCTGGTGAGTGAATGAAATCAGCAACTCCCAGGAAAGGTTGGGGAGAGAAGCCTATGTGCTCAGGGGCAGGCAAGAAGGCCAACCCTCATGAAACCCCTGCTGACACACACACACCTCAGCTACTTTAGCTGGGGAGATCTTCCCTTCATAGGGGCAGCCAAGCACGCAGGAGACGTACCTGTGGGGAGACAGGGAGGAATGAGGTCAGTGCCCCCGAATTCTGTGGCTAGCAGGGCTAAGGCAGTGGGGCTGTGTGATGTACATCCCTGGTCAGTGGGCACTCAACACCTGAGGCTGGCCAGGGGGTCTGTGACCGACTGGGTGAAAGGTGAATTCAACAAGGTGGGACAAGAATGGAAGCAGTGGCTTGGTGCCAGGAGGAGGCAGTGGAGAGCCACTTGGAGGGATTGGGTCTACAGTTCAGGAAGCAGGAGGTGCACAGGCCTCAGGAGAGGCAGTCAAGGACTTACAATAAGCAGAGGCGGAGAAGCTAGAGAGGGCAATAGGAGTGAGCAGTTGAGTTGTAGGACATAAGACACAGCAGAACATATGCCAGGGGAGCCAGGGCCAGCACTCCAGCAGGAGGCCAAGGACCGGATGAGGTCAAAGGGCAGATAGAGAGCTGAGTTGGATTTGAGTTGGTAATGGCTGGGCTGGCCTGAGGGCTGAGGATTTATTCATTCGCTTATTTGGTGTTTACCTAGTGGCTGACCATGTGCCAGGCACTGGGCACAGAGCAGTGAGCAAGACTGACAAGGCCCCTGCCCTCTGGGAGCTCACCTCAAGTTAGGAGACAGCTAATGAAACAGCAGCCAAGGAAGTAAAGGAGATGACCTCAGAAGTGATGACTATAAAGGGAGGAAAGGGCCAGGCTCGGTGACTCAGCTTATAATCCTGTCCTTTGGAGGCTGAGGTGAGTGGATTGCCTGAGCCTGTGGGTACGAGACCTACCTGGGCAACTTGGCGAGACCTCATCTCTACAATAAATTAAAAAAAAAATTAGCCGGGCGTGGTAGTGCGCGCCTGTAATTCCAGCTACCTGGAAGGCTGAGGGGAAGGATTGCCGGAGCTCAGTGGATTGAGGCTGCGGTGCCCGGGAGCGTGCCACTGCCTCCAGCCTGGACGACAGAGTGAGACTCCAACTCAAAAAAAAAAAAAAAGGGAAGAAAGGGAACTGTCACAGGAGCAAATAGAGGTGGCTAACTGCATGAGGGGGGCCAAGAAAGACCTCCAGGGCAGGACGCTGGAGAAAGAAGGGGGAGGGTCTACAGGAAGAGCATTCCAGGCAGAGAGAAGAGCAAAGCCCTGAGATGGGAGAACCGGGCATGTTTCAGAAGGAACAAAGGACAGTGAAGCACAGAGAGCAAGGGGGAGAACCATAAGGTGAGTCTGGCAAGGCGGGAACCAGCCTGATCCTGGTCCTAGAGGTTTTGGTAAGTAGTCTTGGCTTTGGATGTAGACGGGTTCTATTCCCACCCATCCTGCTGAAGCTGAGGTGCCTTTAAGATCTTGCAGAAGGCCGGGCTCGGTGGCTCAGCCTGTAATCTCAGCACTTTGGGAGGTCGAGGTGAGTGAATTGCCTGAGCCCGTGGGTTCGAGACCTGCCTGGGCAACTTGGCGAGA